AACAGAGGGTTTCTGTGGTATTCGTTCTTGGAGTGGAGAATAGGAAGCGAAAGAGCTCAGAGGACAACTTTCCAGAGGAGTGTTGTTCACTTGATATGATAGGGCAAAGAACACTGAATGACTGGAAGGAAAATTCTTACTCTTAGTGTTGACCTGATCAGTGTTACCAAAACAGTACTGAGGTTCTTGTAGATGAGCCATTCAGTTCCTAAGTGAGCTTTACACAGAAGCTGGGAATTGCTAGGGGAATGGGTAACTGTCAGATAACTCTTTAAAAGCCTTCCATAAAAATGGAACAGGCAGAATAATTCAGGTTGCCTAGTAGGCTGGAAGCAACTAACAGAGTCTGAGGGAATTATGTAGAAAGCTTAGAAATTCTTTCTACTAACGTGGTTGTTTTCTGTTATCTTTGATTTGCAGGTTTTTTTATTTTTTGTTTCCTTGCCCGCTCTCCTTTTGGTAGTAAGATCTGATGTCTCTTTGCAGATCCCTTGGAAATAGTCCCCTACAAAGGGCCTGCTCTTCTGAAGGGTATCCTGTTATTTTGGGGATACAGATTACAGGAAGGTGAATGTTACTGTGTGGTGATGAAAAGGCTTCAAGTCTGATTAATTCAAGTGGAGGATACACAGCTCTATTTATTCCCCATTTAAAACAGCATAAGAGAACCATGTGTCTTTACAAAAAAAATAATCCAAGCAAACAGAATTCTCTCTAATTGAGAAACAGTCAGTATTGTTGCAGTTAAATTATGTTCATTCTTTAAAATATATATAGTTACAAATACCCATTTTCTTTGAAATGTGGATGTTAAAAGAATACAAGAAGATACCTTAAGAGTGTCATCTCAGTATGTGCATATACATCCAAATAATTGCACAGAAGGATCTAGAAATTCTATAATATCACCTATAAAATCCTCTTTCCACTTTATGTGCCTTCAAAATGGGGCTCATTCCTAGGGGAAAGGATATAATAGGAAAAAAAATGTAGCTACAGCAATGAAGTTAATATATCTATAATTGATAGTTTGTACACAGTCGCATTATAAAATATATAGATATGCTTTAGATTAATAAAAAGACAATGATCCAAAACAACATTTTTACACTATATATTACATTCACTAAGTTATATCTGCAGAAATTAGTGAGAGTGGAAAACAAACAAACAAAAAAACCCCCATCAAAGTCCTTAATTTATGTGTACTTTTCCAGACTTGTGGCGTGCTGGATTTGATCAAACACTTATTACACATAATGTTATTATAGCTTGTTATGCCTTTCACCAGCCAGTATTTCTGTTCAGTGTCTTGTAAAGAACAACCCTTCAAATAAGTTGGCTAGCAGTATTAACAATCAGTATTGTAATTAACTGGGTGTGACTACAGTCACTCAGTTCAAGAATTTATTATGCATATGAAAAGTATTATTAGAGAAATACTTTTGTATCTGAACTTTTTAAAGAATCTATATATGCTTGGTTTTTATTTATTTTTTCTGCAGATTTTTTTAGAAGTTTAGGAAAAGTTGTAAAACTGACGAGTGTTAGTATATTGTTTTATACTCAGACATTAACTCATGATTTGAAAAGAGTTCAGTTCATCAGAAATCTTTACCTTCAGTTTTCATTTCAGTGTGTTTGTAGGCCTTCTAAACAATTCACACGTTTCAATTTATCCATACAGGGTCCCTAGAAGATAGGAAAACGCTACAACTTTTATGCCTTTTACAGACAGGGACTCGGGAGGCAGAAAGGGTCGAAGCGTTGTTCAGAGAGGAATTCCCATCCTGGCTCTCCTAGGTCACAATGTCATACGTGTGACTGTTGAAGTTACTGAGCAAAAGCTGTTTAGAACCAGCAAATAAGGAGTGTAAACTACAGAGATTTGCATGAATGAAGGTTTTCTGATCGTGGTGCTTGGTGACAGGGGTTCTGTAGCAGAGGAGAGTCCAATTCCCAGGTCTTAGCCTAGAACTAAGAACTGAAAACAACTACGAAGGAAAATCTACCAAGGTTCTTTTTCTCTGGAGTTTTATTTTAAATGTATTTTCTGCATCATCTGTCTCATTACAGATAGTAGTATGTACATCTAATCAGCAGAAAGAAGGAAAAGCAATATACAGTGTCAACTGCTCCAATTAAAAGAGGAAAAATGAAATTAAAAAAGATCTGATTAGATTATGCTGTTCAGTTATCTTATGTAATTCTTCTGAGTTAGTTCGTCCTTTGGGAATAGTTTATTCAAAGTGTATTTGCTGTAGGAAAGAATTAATTTTCTCTTGAGAAAGCTTCATTGCGTTAGGAACCTATAGCTAAGTTGATATACGATGGCCCTATATAGTGCAGAACTTTGTCTATGAGATACCTCTCTTGGGGGCAGGATAGATCATTTTGATTAGATTACAAAGGAGGGTCCCAGCTTTTCTCCACTATTGCTGTAGTCCAGCGCACACTGAAAGATTGCGCTCTGCAGGAAGTGACAGTTATCGATCTTCAGAATGGTTATGTTTTTAAATATGACAAATTTCTTCTAATCTCTATGGCCAATTTTAATGTGCTGATGATGGTCAAAAGCTTGCTGATAAGTACCTAATGATTTTTCTGCTCTTGTTACAAGTTCTGAGTGTCCTGGCATCTTTACTACCTTTCATCTTCGTGGTCTGGGACTGCTGGGTAGTGAGTATCAAACCTGGTTTCTGAGAAGCCCATCAGTCTGGTGCTGTCCCATCACTATTACTCCCTTTTGAAGACTTAGAGGATGAGTGCTTCCTTTGCTCTCTTTAAGAGAACTTGAACATGATTGCCCACTCTGAACCTTTTTTTCTCTCAGGGTATGTATTTGGGCTGGTTTAACTCAGGTTACATCTCAAAAGAAAAGCCTAAATCAGGTTTGCACAGGATAAGTTATCGTCAAGAGATGGCCTTTCACCAGCATAACTTGTTTTCTGAATGCAGTCTTACCGACCAGAGCAGCCTTTTGTCTCTCAGTGCTCTTCTGTTACTAAAGGTCTTTATTTCAGCAGCAGCAAGGCCAATGTAATTCCAGTCCATGTGGGCAGGGTCTTTTTATGGTTTTACTGGGCTTTGGTTTTTTACATATTTATGGTAGTACTCAAATATTCTGTTTGGAAGATATTTTCATACGGTTCGTCCAGTTACTAACTGTAATGGAATGTATCTCTATAAGGGCCTATTGTTGCCCTGGAATTCAAATCCCCTGTCCTTCCCTGGGGGCTGCAGGATAGCAAGTCCCTACAGTATATCATCAGCTGAAAATCTGCAGGCGTGAATTGCCCTCCACTATGGAGGGAGAGTGCTTTCTATCTTACTACTGGCCACATCATTCCTCCTAAGTAAACACCCGGAAGCAAGGTTTGCTCAGCGTTCAGCTTCAGATTTCAGTTGAGAGAGAAAGATATTTAGTCAGAGCAAATCCAGACAGATAGTGCCTTTCATTTCTTTCTGCATCAGAAGGGCCAGAGAGAAGGGAAACAATACATCTCAAAGTGCCTCTGTGTTGGTAGGACTGACAGACCACCAGAGCAGTTGCTTGTGAGCACATTTATAGTCCTTGCAACTTGAGGATCCTCCTCTTCCCTGACACCCCGCATATTCCAAGGGCAATTCTGCCTGCCGTGACTGGGGACAGGGAGTTGGATTCCTTCATCCATATCTTCAGTCAATCCTTAAAGTTGTTCCCCGTATACTTACCAAACCTGTATTCATTTCTTCTTGGGTCAAGAATCTCTTCCCTGTCTGTCCTTTCCTCCGGAGAGGAGGAAAGTTGCACTCGTTTAATGGAGAGAGTGTGTTAACATTTTGCTTTTATTTTAAGATAGAAGTATGTTACTTACTCTAATTTGATTTTTCTGTGGCCTCAGGAAAATTTCAAGTGATATTAATTTTTAATATTTTGTCAAATTGAGGCCTATATTAAGACAGCTTGTGCTGCCTGAAGTTACGTGTTTCCACCATGTACCAAAGCAGTGCTTGTGGGAGCTGTCTGACTTTGATGGGAAGCCTTTATCTTTTGTAGAACATGGTACCATTCTTCCATACCATTTTAGAACTTCAGTGCCTTTATGTTGCAGACAGCCCTTGCTGTCTCACCTTGCTTTTTGCTTTAGTTACCACATGCTGCCTCATTTTCTGGTGTTGACAATAATAACTGTTGGCTTTCTCTTGAAGTGAGCTGGCATGGAGAGAGATTGAAGAAATTCTCATTCGTTATTTCTTCTCTAAACCCCTATAACTCAGCTCAGAAACCTCATTTTGTTGTGTAGCATGAACAGGCATTTCTTCTTGATGGATTTTAGATCATCTGAGCAGCACTGATTCTCTGTCAAGGTCAGTCTGTTTAAAATGAAATTATATCACAAGGGTTTTTCTCTCCCAACTTTTGAGCATTAGAAAAACGTGAACCCTTCTGACAAGAGGTTACACATCATAAGATTTTTTTTTTTTTCATCATATGGTAATTTAGTTTTCAGATCCATGATTTAATTTCTTCTACTCTTTTTCTGACAGCACAGCAAAAGGGTAGTACTGATAGGATAGGAATGAATATGTATTTGCCTTTAATTTCTACAATATTTCACAGAAAGTGAAGTGTCACAGTGCCGTTTTCCCTTGCCCCTCCATCCACGTGCTTCATCAGTGTTACATTTAAAAGACTGTGTAATAGTACAGGACCGAAGCCTAAAGAAAAGTACCAGTTTGAGTAGAGACTCTTAAAGAATTTTTATGTTGGTGAAGCAAGCTTGGTTTCAGGACATAATCCGAGGAGAAGATGCTCCCAGTGATTAGTGGGAAGTAATGCAACCTAAATAATTCAGAAGAGTTTTTATTTAGTTTGATTTTATGTTTTGTGACCTGTGCTCTGTGATGTTTTTCATTCAGTTTTACATTACAGTGATAAGGTGTGCACTCTTTAAGTTCTCAGTGTCTTTTCAGTGTCTTTGAAATCTCAAAATGAACAATTTTCACCTTCTTAACAGGACATGGAGCGGATGTGAAATGTGTTGACTGGCATCCAACAAAGGGGTTAGTTGTATCAGGAAGTAAAGATAGCCAACAGCCCATCAAGTTCTGGGATCCAAAGACTGGCCAGAGCCTTGCCACACTGTAAGTTCTTTCCCACAGACTTTGATTTGCTCAAATAATAGCTCACTTCGTAAAATATTTTTTTTAATTCCTTTCTTAGCTTTTTGCCTCACATCTCTTCAGTCATACACAATTGCTTCAAATATAAAGCTAGTGCTTTAGCTGTGCCAGAAAATCTAGAGGATAGATGAAGTCTTTATTTGGAAAATTATGACTTTAATATTCCTTATTTAAATTTACTTTGTTCTTCCCCGTAGACCTTCTAGTCACACAGTTCTCATTTGGGAAACAGAATTGAGATATGGAAACACAAATGAGATACTTCATCTATCTGAAAAATTTCTTATGCTGCAGTAGAAACGTGTGCAGCAACTGAATGCTGTCTCAATGAGCACTGCCAATGGCTCTGAAGTACGAAAAAACAGGATTAAGGTGTAGGGCCTTTGCACAGAAGCCACAGTATTCTGGTTTAGTAGCCTGAACTACTTTGTTATTGACCTGAATATTTGGGACTGGTAAATTGTCACATTTTTATGTGTCTGAGAAATCGGTATCTGGACGAACAGTCTTGTCTTTCTCTGCTTGCAGACATGCTCATAAAAACACAGTGATGGAGGTGAAGCTGAATCTGAATGGCAACTGGCTGCTAACGGCTTCTCGTGACCATCTCTGTAAGCTCTTTGACATTCGTAATCTGAAAGAAGAACTTCAGGTCTTCAGAGGTCATAAGAAGGAGGCCACAGGTCAGAATTCATTATATTATGTGGATTTTTGGTAATAAGTTTGGATTAAAAATTAAAGTTTTTTATATCCTGGCTTCCATTCATTAGAAATCCTGGCATTATACTTTCTGATTGTGACTTTGTATTTCAGCTGTGGCCTGGCATCCTGTTCATGAAGGGCTGTTCGCCAGTGGAGGATCTGATGGCTCTTTGTTGTTCTGGCACGTTGGGTATGTGGCATTTTCATCAGCATGGAAAGATGTTGGTCGGATGTTCAAGCTATTATACTAAACACAAAATACACTCTTCACCTTTGAATCTGTATTTAACATGCATGTTTATGGTATCATTTTATTCTGTACCTGAGGAAGTTTATGAATATGCTTAATTTATGAAGAAGTTTCCTGTGCAGATGTATTTTAAAGGATGCAATTGCTTGCACAGAAAATAATCTCTTGTTGAGAGATTGATGAATAATTGAAACTCCTAGTTTCTTAGAGCTTGTTCTGAGATGTTGTAATCGTTTTGTTTCTAAATGTACAGTTAACAATCTCTACATTCCCTGAATTCCCTATTAAGAGCAACTGGGAGTGATCAGTTAACCCAATAGAAAAATAAGAGGCTTAAGGTTAGCAGAATATGGGATAGAGGAAGAGGAGCAACTTAACAGCAAAAGCTTTGTATTGTGTCTGTAGCAGTTATTAACCTGTGTGATGACTGATTGGGAATTTTTTTTATGCATCAGGGTTGAGAAGGAGGTTGGTGGAATGGAAATGGCCCATGAAGGAATGATCTGGAGTCTGGCGTGGCATCCCCTTGGACACATTCTCTGTTCAGGCTCAAATGATCACACCAGGTATTTCCAAGTATTTAAATAAAAGATCTAAGGGAATGCATGTACATTTAGAAACTAGAAGGGTGCATTGCATCAGCGAACAAAGAATAGATTGGGATGATTCTGACACATGACTAGTGGGCAGAGCAGAGAGACAAACTTACCTAAATGGGAAGGCGCTGACATTTTACATTAAAAGGTAGAGCCTAACATCTTGTCCTTCATTTAAGGAATCTTTAAAAAATACTAGGATTTTGGATTGATGTGAACTTTGAAATCTCCTGAAGAAATCTGTAAAAAAGAGTTGTAGTTTCTTGCTGAAGAAATATTCTCATCTCCATAGCATTTTTTTCCCCACAGATAATCTGCTGATCATGTCTGTCTTTTCACATTGCAAACATGTTTGGAGGCATATAGTTTGTGCTTTTAGGTTGAACATGCTGTAAAATTATTTACTCCATTTATAAAATGGGTGCATTTTATAAATGGAGTAAATTTTTATGTGTGGATGTGTATTGGCAAGTTTCGTTGTATATGAAGAATGTATTTGAATTGTGCAAGAAATTTTTTGAATAGGCTAGAAAAATATCTGTCTGTTCGGGATCTGATGTTGATGCCTTGTACTTATACCTCTTACACTTTGAAGTATCTTCTGAGTGTTAACTGTATAATTCAATATGATAATTGTTGTTTTCTTATTTTTGGTTTGAACCTCACACCTAATGTTTAGATCTGGTGCTGAACTTCATTTAGTAAGAGTTGAATCCTAATATAGTTAAGATAGCATGCTAAAAATGAAAGAACTAATTAGATTAAAAGTAGTTACTACTTGACCCTTTATTGAGATTGCATAACTTCCTTTTGACAGCAAGTTTTGGACTAGAAATCGTCCTGGAGATAAAATGCGAGATCGTTACAACTTGAATCTGCTCCCTGGGATGTCAGAGGATGGTGTGGAATATGGTAAGGCAATTTTCCTTAATATGGAAGAAGGAGGGTTGGGTTCAGGAGCAAGCCTAGGTTGTTAGCTGACACTAGAGCGCAGGTTCTGGGTGAAACTATAAAACAGTACTATAGCATTGGTGACTACCCAGATAAAGATATTTCTCTATGAGGATAATCTTACTCTCCATGTTATCAGCGATCATTATTCCAACAATGAGTTTTCTTTTGTTTCTGCAGCTCCGGGAGGTAAGACTTGCTGTGTCAATCACAGGAAGGAGGTTTGGCTCTCCCTCTGGCAATATCTCCAGTTTACTTTTCTTCCTGAAAACATCATGTGACTCCAAGATTTCCCACAGTCCTGAACTACAGCAGAAAAATCTTTCAAATTATTGAACTTGACTAAAACTTTACCTGCCTCTTAAGGATTTGTCTTCGTAGTTTTAGGCTGCTTGGAGTTGTCTAGCTCTATGGCATGCCTCAGCAATCTTTTCATTTCTGGGGTTGCATCTGTTTCTTCAGATTTTTTGATTATTTGATCTTTTGTGTTTGGGAATATTAATTAAAATGCAGTGCTTCAATCCAATATAAGTTATAAAATATATAGATTTGTTATAACAAAAATGGGAATGGGTTATTTCAGTTTCTGAGCTTCTACCCTAAATGTGACTTTCCTGAAAGGACATAGTTTCTGACCTTTTGGGGTGTATTTATGAATCTGAATTTGCAGTTCTTTTAATATCCTTTAATTCATGTATGGGATTAAAATGTGACCCACCAGCTGTGAAATATGTAATGATAGCAGTGGTAAAAGCATGTTAGAATCCAAAGGGATAAAATGATAATGTAAAGAAAAATGTTCCAAGTATAAATATTTATTGGTTGTCTCTAGATGATCTGGAACCCAATAGTCTTGCAGTTATTCCTGGGATGGGAATACCTGAGCAATTGAAAATAGCCATGGAGCAAGAGCAGATGGGTAAGTGGTTACTATGGGGAAGCATTTTCCTGAACTATCCAGATACTGTGTGGATATTCTCTTCTATTCCTTTCATATATTTTGGTAGCACAGACAGTTTCCTAAAGGTTGTGCTTATTTCCCATGTAAAGAAGGAAAAGTTGAAAACTTCTTTGTATTTTTTGCTAAATAAGTTGTAAGGAGAGTAACAGGATTTCTCTGTAAACCTGCATTGCTTTGACTCTTTGTCTCCCTGATGCTGAAGGGAAAGATGAGTCCAATGATATTGAAATGACAATCCCAGGACTGGACTGGGGAATGGAGGAAGTAATGCAAAAGGACCAAAAGAAGGTGCCACAGAAAAAAGTGCCCTATGCAAAACCAATACCAGCACAGTTTCAGCAGGTAAGTACTTGATACGCAGTAAACAGAAGAACAACTTGTTATTTTCTCAATTTTCAAGAAGTATGTGGCTGTGGAAATGCTTTGGGTTTCCAGTATCAGCTCTTTTATTTCAACACCCAGTGCAAAATAACTTACCACAGTTCTTAGTTTAACTACTATTTAAGCATAAAATATTTGGATAAATCCCTTATATCTTGTATTTGTACCTGGAAAATAAGATGTTTTAAGATGCTGAAGTTTTATTGTGCAGTGGTTTTAGCTTCTGATTATGCATACTGCACAACCTTCCAGTGTATCTTTTCCCAGTGCAGCAATTACATACATGTTCCTCAGAATTCATCTTGTGTTTGCTATTCTTTACAGGCCTGGATGCAGAATAAAGTTCCTTTGCCTCCTCCACCTGAGCCATTGAATGATAGAAAGGAAGATATTAAGCTGGAGGAGAAAAAGAAGACACAGGCAGAGATTGAACAGGAAATGGCAGCACTTCAGTACACAAACCCACAACTCTTAGAGGTACGTATGTCAAGGCAGTTACTAGCAGATGTGTTTTAGTGCTCTGTATGATACATTTGGACCTCCACACTAAAATATGTATCTTCCTTTTGCATTACTGTTTTCAAATTTTTTCAAAAAACATCTGATTTAACAGGACATTGAACTTCACGCATGATACTATAATAACTTCAGCGAAGTCCTCACATTTCAGTTAACTAATACTGATCTATGGATCTCTTCAGTTGTATTTCTGTTAATTAAGAGAAAAGCACTAGATCTTTTTAAACTCCAGAGAAATGAGATGGTTGCTTCTGATTTTTAGTTGTTACATATACTTCCATGCTTAGTTGATTTTCTGGGTCTCTCTTTTTTGGACAGCAATTGAAGATTGAGAGACTTGCACAAAAGCAAGCTGAGCAAGTGCAGCCACCACCTCCAGGAGGCTCTCTTCACGGACCCCAGCCTTTTCCAGGGCAAGGCCCAATGTCACAGATGCCTCAAGGGTTTCAGCAGCCCCTTCCACCTCAACAGATGCCAATGAATATGCCTCAGATGGGACCTCCTGGTCCACAAGGACAGTTCAGACCTCCGGGACCCCAAGGACAAATGGGACCTCAGGGCCCATTACACCAAGGAGCTGCAGGTCCACAAGGGTTCATGGGACCACAAGGACCTCCAGGCCCCCAAGGACCTCCGCAAGGAATGCCACGGCCTCAGGATTTACATGGACATCAAGGAATGCAGAGACATCCTGGTCCTCATGGGCCAATGGGACCTCCAGGTCCACAGGGTAATGCTGGCCCACAAGGCCACTTAGGACCACAGGGTCTGCCTGGGTCTCAAACTCATTTAGGACCCCAGGGTCCACCTGGCCCACAAGGTCACCTGGGTCCTCAAGGTCCCCCTGGTGGTCAAGGAATGCAAGGGCCACCTGGTCCCCGAGGAATGCAAGGACCTCTTCCTCATGGCATGCAAGGAGCTCCAGGATCTCAAGGGATGCAGGGCCCTATATCTCAAGGGCCTTTGATGGGACTTAATCCAAGAGGGATGCAGGGTCCACCAGGACCCAGAGATAACCAGGGACCTAATCCACAAGGGATGATGATGGGTCATCCACAAGAAATGAGAGGTCCTCATATGCAAAGTGGTTTACTAGGACATGGTCCCCAGGAGATGAGGGGCCTCCAGGGACCCCCACCTCAAGGTACAATGTTAGGACCGCCACAAGAATTGCGTGGGCCACCAGGTCCGCAAGGCCAGCAGGGACCTCCACAAGGCTCTTTAGTGGGGCCTCAAGGAAACATGCAAGGACCTCAGGGACAACCGAATCCTTCAAGGGGGCCGCACCCTTCCCAGGGCCCTCTGCCTTTCCAGCAGCAGAAAACACCTCTGTTGGGTGATGGGCCTCGTCCCCCGTTTAATCAGGTATGTGTCAGTCTGTATAACGAGAGTGTTAAGAATGTACAAATGATAATGTCACGTGGTAGAAATGCAGAGCAAGAGCTGAGGGGCTGAAGGTTTGATACACTTGCAAGACTTGGGCCTCAGAAAAACCTAAATGATAATGAAGAGAGTTATGTAGTTTGGAAACAGCAGAGGTTACTGTAGAAAAGGATCACTGGAAATACTGGTACCAAAATCAATGTCTTCTATGAAAATCTTTAACCTGAAGAGAAACTCCAGGTTTTTTAATTGAAAGACACTGAACTGTCTTAAATGGGGAATTTCCCGGGGAGTAGGTAAACACTAAGAAAAGTTGAATTTAAGCAAACTAAACATAAGAAAACTCATATGCATTAATTAAGGCAAGTTACTGCCAACTCTCAGTTGTCCCAGAGTAGTTAATCTGAACTATGAGATTAACTGGTTCAGTACCATGGATGCTGACACACCTGGAATCAGTTTACATCTGCCTGAATTTAGGAGTTCAAACTAAGCACACAGGAACATGGCTATCCTGCTTCCTTCTCTGGCATAGAAACCATTTAGCCACCTTTGTACTTTCTGGAGCACAATTTAAGCAACTGGTGTTGTACACTGTTAACTTGTTACTGCACCATTTGCCAAGAAGCACGAGAGGGAGCACAGGTATCAGACAGGTTTCTGTAGGACTAGCCCAGGTCTGGTAGGGCGAGTGCTGAGCTGGAGCTGCTCAGCAGGGCCTGGATGTGTGCTGACCACTGCACCGCCAGTTAGACATCCCTGTGCTGTGTTGCCTTGGCACTCAGCTCCAGGAGCGTTCACCAGCTCAGAAATATAGTCGTGCTTAGCTGACCTGGAGTTCTGGAGAGTGTCGCTTATAGACACACCAATTAATTCTGCAGGAATTGAGTCAGGTTTTTATTAAGTCTGGTTCAGTACCAGGTGCAACCTGCTCTGCCTTCTTCAGCATCTGTCACAATGAGTGATGACATACTGAAGTGAGCTTTAACTCAGTGATTCCATTTCAGATTGAGGCAGAGTAGCCTACAAATTGTGGTTTTATTTGAATATTTTTTTCCTTAAAAATAAGCAATAATTCCCTCCAGAACTCTCTTAATGTGACACTACTGCTGAGATTTCAAAAGCATCAAGGTTAAGCGAACAAGAGTTGTTTCCACAACTGTCTAACTTAAACTAGCATAAATTTTTCATTGCTATCCCAGGGAGACTAACTTTTGTGCTTTGAGAATAATTACCAAGCTTGTGTGTGCATAAAAGTTTGTGCATTTTTACGTATATGTTAACACTCTGGTCAGAATTCAGTAAGTTGCTTTTGGCAGGTGGACAGTTAATTTCAGTGAATACTGTTATCTTGAAGTCTTTTATGATACTAAGAAAAGACAAAGCAAGGTATTTTTGATTACTTTCCCTTCTTTGTGCAGCTTTAGTATGGCAATGTCTTTTAAAAAATAACAGATTTTAAAATTTGTGATGTCAATTTTTGCTCTGGTTTGCTTCTTTGTAATATGAATATAATAACAGTTGCTATTTAAAAAGGCCCCATCTGTGATTTTTTTAAAACAATAGGCTTTAGCTTATTTTTTACTCTGATTTTGACATGTATCTTCTGTAAACTTGTGCAAATCACTTGCCTTCCTTTTCAGTAGCAGAAGTGTATGAAATTATATCTGCTTTATCGAGGGCCTGTGACATTAATAGTGAATATTTACACGTATTTTTAAAGGTTGATCTCCATATCAGATGCCACTATTACCTGCATCTGCTATACACTGAAAGCAGAGGTTTACTGCAGAGTTTGTGGGTGCAATGTACATTTATTCCTGAACATGAGATCTTCTACCTTCTGCAAACATGAAACAGAAGCGAGGACTGTTTATAAGGAGGAAATTGCCCGAGACGATTGTCAAAATTTTATTCTGGAGATAGGCATGCTGATATTAAAATGCAGATGGATAAATAGAATATTCCCAAGTTAACGGTACTACTTTGGAGCTCTTTTGCTATTGCTCATTTAGATTTGATCTTATCACATTCCTTTTAGATAGATGTGCTGAATTTCATCTCAACATCATGGTTGAGTCAGGTACTAGTACTTCAGCCCCAGTCTCTTGTCCACACAGAGAAAAACTTTAGGAACTTGTGCAGTATTTTAGAAGAAATGGAATTTCTTTTTTATGGGTGAATTCAAAGAATTCTTTTCCCCTTCAGTGCATAATTTGAATTGATACAGATGGCTATCATAAAATGGCAGTGCCATTTGCATATATATGGAAGATACACCAGGAACGTGGAGCAGTTGTGTTCTGCTGCACCAGCTTATCTGACGTGTGCAGAACCTCAGCCGGCGCAGGGTGAGGTGCTGTAGCCACAGCCGCCTCGAGGTGCGGGGTACCTGAGGCCGTTTTCAGCTTTTGCTACAGTATCTCCTTCTGAGCTGTACATACTCATTTTTCAGTTTTGAGCCCATTTTGGGGCCTAGAATGTATTTTGAAATGAAAAGCATGTGCAAATGCGGTGTTATGGCTTGGTCTTCCTATCTTGTCAAAGTGCTATTTGTTTGGAACAGAAGTTTTTGCTATATACTAAGGAAGCTCAATTAGTGAGTGCTAAAAACTGCTGCTTTGGTTAAACACTAGTGGCATAAATTTAAGAAGTTCAATTAAGTTTATTAAGTAAGCATATGCTAAATATATGAGAAATCATGGAACTCCAGCAGGGTTTTGGTCAAGAATGGCAGAAACACAGCGATAGCTGGATCTTTCCTAGTCAGGGAATTTATTGCTTCTGGACTTAAGTCAACATTCATTCAGTAGGACAGTATTTTTGGGGTTTTTTTTAATAGACATTGGACCAGGCCTTTTATTTTTCCTTTTGTTTTTTTTTTTTTTTTTTCCCTCCTGCCAAAGTCTTTACAAGATTACTCGATGCAAATATATTTGTAGTATATATTTTGTGTTTATCACCTATATTGCAGTTGAATATAAATGTTTAATTTAAAACCAGTATTTCAAGATATGATGGGAAAGATACACAAATGAACTTACTGCTTCTCTGCAACCAGAAAAAAAAGAGGTAGTGTTTCTTAAGAATTAATGTAGAACATGAAAATTACTTGATTCATAGAGAGATTAAGCAGTATAATTATTAGTACAATTAGTACAATTAGTGATGGAGCATAGGTATTTACAAACTACCTGCAGTCTGCAGGGTTTTTTACAAACCAATATGAAGGCCAAGTCTAAATCTTACATATTAGACATATCTAGAAAAAAAAAAACAAACACGTGTTTAGCGTTTGCTGGTATGGGTTTTGGGGGGATTTTTTTGTGTGTGTGAAGTCAACATAAAAAGGTTTTGTATAGCAATATTGCAAGTTTCAACTCTGTCTTGTTCACAGTGGTATGTTTTTATTGTTGGATCTCATTGCTACAATGTAAGTTATGTAGTGCCCCCTTTTAGTTCCAGTGAAGCACAAACCCAAATGATGACTTTTTGCCTGGGCTTTGCTGTTTTAAGGGCAGAATTGGACAGTTCAACCACACTGTTTCCCAAACAATGTTATAGTCGGTCCAGTGCAAATGTGGTGCCTGTAGAAATCTTTAATGAGTGTGTGACACTGAATTTAAATAACATTTTTTTGAATCCTTTAAAATTCACAAAGAGAGGAAAAAACAACAAAAGATTTTATATGTATTTTATTTTTTCTTTGGGATCATATAACTTCCACAAACCTCTGCCTACTGTACTGTTTCAGCTTGAGAAAAGCAGGCAACTGCAGCTTCTGCTTTAGCCTTGTCATTGCTTAATAGCCCATTAACACCTTGTCTCTTGGTGCTTAGCCAAGCATTAGAACTTTATTTTGATCCTAGATTTAGAATTAGGAAAAGTAAACTTTGCCAGCACGTTAAAAATGAAATTAATGTATTTCCATGTTAACAATTTACAAAGGTTTATGGGAGAGGTTCTCTTATGGCCCTGTTGTTGTCCTCCCCTGTCCCAACATTCTTGGCACTTTTCTTTTTTCATGGTTTCATTTTTTTTGTCTGTACAGCTCTTTACCTGCATATAAATCAGTACCTGATATTTTCCAAACAAATATACAACTTCTTCATCTTTTCTAATAGGCAGCTAGAATATGAGCTTTATCATCTTTGGTTGTTAAGGGTAAAATATTAGTCCTTGAAATGCTAAGTTTCCTATAAAATTGTGTTTCACAGACAGTGACTGAAAGACATTACTGAATGTCTGAAAAATTAGGCTGAAACATTTGAAAATCAGCTGTTTCTGTTGTAAAGCCCATGAAGATGCAGTCTTTACTGTTTTGCCCCCTTACAAAATGCTTAAAAGCAAAAATACTCACGCATGGCAATTCACATGGCTTTTCTTATTATGTGCTCATAGGATGGACAGAACCCAGGTCCTCCACCACTGATACCAGGTCTGGGGCAGCAGGGAGGACAAGGTCGTCTTGGCCCTCACAACCAAGGACCTGGTCTTAATAAAGGTAATTAAATATCTTGTCTGTTCTTCTGTGAGTACTTCTCCTAAAAGAGGCTGTTACAGTGCAGTGCCTCTAGACAGAGAAGGTTACAGCAGAGCACAGGGCCCTGCCTGAGAGGAAAGATTCCATAGACTTGGGCTGGAATATGGAGGAAAAATTTTCCCCAAAGAATTATGTAATATGAAATGTATGGTGTATGCTTTGTAGAAATGTACGAACTAGAGCATTCTAGAGCGTTTTTAGAAAACGTTACAGAAATCTGCTATGATTTTTTCCCTCAAGGTGACTCCCGTGGTCCACCAAACCATCACATGGGCCCTCTCTCAGATAGAAGGCACGACCAGAACAGTGGTGGTCCTGATCATGGGCCTGAGAGAGGGTTGTTTCGAGGTGGCCAGGAGTGGGGTGATGGTAGAGACAGCAGGGGCATGCCAGATAGACGAGGACCTCACCCAGATTTCCATGATGACTTTGATCGACCAGATGACTTCCGTGACGACTTCCATCCAGATAAGAGATTCGGCCATCGATTACGGGAATTTGAGGGGAGAGGAGGCCCACCATTGCAAGATGAAAAATGGAGACGAGGTGGACCTGGGCCTCCCTTTCCTCCTGATCACAGGGAATTTGAAGGAGGGGGTTCAAACCGTGGGCCTCCTGGTGCTTGGGAAGGACGGAGACCTTCAGATGATAGATATCCACGGGATCCTGAGGACGCACGGTTCCGAGGAAGACGGGATGAGAGGTAAGAATAAATCTACTCATCTTTTTTTGGGTTAAAGGGTAAATGGAGGGAACTCTTTCTTCCTGGTTTCCTTTTCATTAAGGAGTCTATCTGTTTCAGATTTATAAACTGGAAACCAATAAGGAAATGAAAACTCTAATATACCTGAGTATAGAGTCCATAAAAATCATTCAGTAATAGAAGAAAACTTGAAAAATGGTCATTGTACACAGCAGCTTCCGTGTCTTTAAACAGTAAGTAAAGAGAAGGGAGGAAATTTGTAGAGAAGATCCAGTGACACAGGATGAAGATTTGAGACCGTTTTGATGAAAATTGAGAGGAATCTTGAAGGTTAAAGTGACAAACTTGAACGCTAGAAGTGGATTTTGAGACTTTGTCTCCAGTCACAAACTACAGCATGACTGTAGAGACTTAGAATGAGATGTAATATACTTGTAAGGAGCAGGAACAGTGATCCTACTATCAAATATAAGGGGCAGAGCTACAGCATCTGTTGGACTGTTGAGACTATTTTCTCATGGTTTTGCTTGTAGAAATTTTATTTCTCTTTCTGACTTATTTCTTAACGCCAAGTGAAGAACTCAAAAATAATCTAATTTACAGCAATGTCCATGTTATTGCTGACAATTTCCAAGTAAATCACAAAGGGATGAATTTGCTTCTAGTTACCAATGTAATCAGGAAGATTAACTGTCATAGAAATTGCTCCAGATTTATGCTAGTTAAATTTGGCCTCCAAGGTCTAAGCCTCTCACTGACCACCAACTCTATATGTATAACATGTACTTGTATGAATATATTGTGGTCTCCACATAATGTGAATTTTGTGTGTTTTAGTTGCCTTTTTAATCATTTTCTTACATTCCTTTTACTTTGCATCTATACAGCTCTTCTTTTAGCTATTTTCTACCTAGCTCTGTAAAGATGTACCTTCCTTTTGTGTGAAGAGTATGAAAAGAAATGAACAGTAACTAAAAGAAGGTAACAAAGCCATTTTAAAAAAGTAAAAATAGAGAGAATCCAAGCTGAATGGTCTGCATAGAGAATTATAAAAGACACAGCAGACAACATTTTTAGAAGCTCGAGAGAGATTTTCAGCTCTTATATTGGAAATGCTTAGGGTCTGGAAAATATTTTATGATCATCCTGATTTTTAAAAAGGTTTCAGCAAGAGTCCAAGAACCTTGTGACCTGTAAATCTGACTTTTGAACTAAGAAGAGTCTATTTGTCAGAGTAAAAGTGTTTGTACAGAGAGTTTGGTTTAAAAGGAATCAGCACAGGGCTGTAAAAGGCTTATTGTGCTTGCAAACTTAATGAATTCCTCTGAATGAAGGTGAATTAGGTGTTATTTGCTGCAGATGCTGAGATGAACTTAAGAAACCCAACCACTCATTTAGCTGACTTGGTTTGGAATTTAGATTGTAACTGGTTTGATCAAGCATGAGAGGGAAGTGTGTGTATGTGTGTTTCTAATTTCCCGTCCTTCTCATCCCTGTCCTGTTCTTACTCTACCTGTGCATATCAACATGATGCTTCTTCTGCAGAGACCTGCTCTTCCTGCCTGCTAATCTGCACAGTGTGTAGTTCTGTACATTAAGGTCCTAGGCCTCAAGGAAGAAGATCTGAGAGCAGTCAAACAGGAACTGAGCCCTATGCAAGGCAGGGTTTTACATGTGACTGATGTGAAAAACTGAAAAAGGATATACATAACACAATATTAGGAGCTGTGGCAATGTCAGGCATAGGTATGATAGATTTCAAAACTAAACTATGTCCACAACATTGCCTGGAAACAAAAAGGAAAGGCCCTATTCCTGCTAGCCATAGGATCTTGTGTTGCAAATCTTGGTAATTTACAAGCTAAGCAGAATCACACCATGTCAGTATTAAAATGGGAGGCCCTCTAAAGAACATCTAGAGGATTGTGCTGTTTCAAGGCTAAACAATATTGCTATGTGGTTATTTGAACCATTTGTACCTGAAACTGTTCAATTTGTTTTCCCAAATCATCCAGGTTAATGTAAAATGGTTCATTGTCCATATACAGCACTCCCTCCATCCACTGTTGTACCTATACAGGCACAGCAGCCTCCTCTCTGTATTGTGTTTGTTTTCTGGGAGGTGGAGACAGACCTATTGTTTTTAATTAAAAAAAAAATGTAAAAGTTTAAAAATATTGTATTGTGTTATGACTACTGTTAAAATATTTAAATTTGTAATTAAAAGGTTAATGTTGTTAAAATTCTAAATAAAAGTATCTAAAGTTTTGCTTGTAATAGGATGCACTGTGTCGTTAATGAGCTGGGGAAGGGGATTTTGCACAAAGCCAACACCATCTGAATATTCTGGTGGTTATGGTTTGGCCAATGTGGAACTGGGAAGACAGGGGAGGGTGGGGGGCATCACTGTGAATGGGCAAAGAGTGCTCCACATTATCTGTGCTTTCACTGAGGGGTGGGCAGCAGCATGGGGTCGCACTGTGAGGACTCCTGAACCAGAGTGCCTGCCAGCACCTAAACATCTCACCTGTGCTTGCACAGAAACTGGGCTGTAAACTAAGACAATCATAACAACCAGTGCCTAGTGCACACTTCTGGAGTTGCAGTAATACACAGAACTTGGATGTGCTTTTACAAGCACTCCAAGTGTTTCAGCTGACAATGTAAAAACCAAAACTACTAGTATTCATGCAGCCATCTGTAGGCTTACCTGAAATGGCACTGACAGTTCATTAAGAACCATTCTTCTCTCCGAAGATCTCTGTTAAAACCCCAGTGTGACACTGGAGGAACTATACTCATTTAAGACGAGATGCAGAACCCAATCATACCAAATTACTGAAGATGGCATGGTCCTTAATAGTAGGAAATTATCAACTTTAGTGTCATAAGTACATTTTGCAAAAGAAAAATCTTCATTATTGCAGTTGGATAAACTGCTCTTCAGGTTGTAGCATGTCACTCTACACGCTCTTCAGCAAACTCCCATACAGAGCCAAGTGCAGTCTAGATTAATTTGCTGAAATTGTGAACTTAGAAGAAAGGAATGAAAAACAAAATGTTTTGTTATAGCTATGATTCTCATTTCTTGTATTTTTTTCAGTTTGTTTTTATCACTAAAATGAAAGGGAAAAAAGGAAAAGGGAAAGTAAGACCACTACAGTTAAGAGAAATGCACTTATACTTCTCCTTACCTCATCTTATATCTATCATCACTCACCTATTGTTTTTTTCCCCTTTTTCATTAAATGAACATAGTGTATTTGACTATTTGACAATATTGTTCTTGTATGAAAACAGAAGGAAATAGGAGGGAAAACTATAAAAATGAATAACCAAAGTGCTCAAAGGCAGAAAAAGAGCACTTTTCCACACTTACAAATCCTATTCTAGTAACTGTAATCTGTATGTGCTATGGTATAAGTAAAACAGTTCAGAAATTAGTTGATTATTAAACTGAAGCTGACTCAAGTTTATCAATCTAAATTCTGCCCAAAAAGCTCATCTGTACCATGTTCTTTCTTGTAGCTTCAGAAGAGGAGGACCCTCGAGACATGAGGGCCGGGGACCCAGGGGGAGAGATGGCTTTCCTGGCCCTGAAGATTTTGGGCCAGATGACGCTTTTGACTCTCCAGATGAAAACTCAAGAGGAAGGGACCATGGTGGTCGGGGGCGAGGTCGTGGTGCTCTTAGAGGTGAGGGGAACATTCTTCCACACTGAAACGCAAGGATAAGGCAGCAAAGACATTTCTTGGTCAAGTTACAGTATTTTCAGGAATACATTGTCTCTTCTCACTGCTGTCCCCCGCATCTCTTACTGCTCAGGAGGCCGGAAGGGTTTACTTCCCACTCCAGATGAATTTCCACGCTTTGAAGGAGGGCGGAAACCAGAATCCTGGGATGGAAACAGAGAACCAGGTAAAAAATTTGGTGTGGTTTGTTTTAGGTAATAGGCTAGACTTCTACAATATAACCACTTAAAATTATGTTTTTTATCACCTTTTTCCTGTACCTCACATGCTCATTACCAGTCATTTACCGCAAGAGAAGCAAAATACAGTTCTTTGGACTTCTAAATTTAGGAAAAAAATAACTATGCAGAATTTAACTGTCTCTAAGTGCAGATGTCTCACTGACCAAAAAATGATTGTGGCCTCAAAGTCTTGATTTTAGGTTGAATTTTTGTACAGCCCAGAACTGCCTGTTGTCATTTGTGGATGCCTCAAGCATGTCTCGTGGGGTTTTTTTTGAGATGTATATTAATGCCAATAGTAATCTTTCTCTTGGGTGGTATTTTCTCTGTTGTTTGCAAAAATAATGTTTTCAGCATTATGGCAAAACTAAGTTTTAGAATGACATGGAAAAAAATGAGCACAAATGACACATGAATAAATGAAGATCTGATTGCCTCTAAAATATATAAAAATATTTTATAGTGAAAAGAACACTTTAGATCCGTCACTTCTTTCCTTCCCATAATCTTTTAAACCTGTTTTACCTTTAGCTTTCCTGCAACTAATTCATCTAATGTTTGCTTGTTTGTCTGTTGGGATGGTGGGGGGGGGAGAAGTTTTATGTAATTTTAACTTGAAATTGTGTGACAAGTAGTGTGGACAGTATGTAAATTTATGTGACTGCTCCAAAAATGAGGAATAATGATCAGATGAACACTACTTATTATCCTGTTTTTTCTCTTCATGCTCAGGTCCTCGTCCAGATCACCCTCCTCATGATGGGCATTCTCCAGCTAACAGAGAACGTTCTTCTTCGCTCCAGGGCATGGACATGGCCTCATTGCCACCACGTAAACGTCCCTGGCATGATGGACCAGGGACCTCTGACCACAGAGAAATGGATCCTCCAGGTGGACCACCAGAGGAGAGGGGCAAAGGTAAAAAGCCCATGTTATTGAAAACCCTGTGTAACACCAGCACATTTTTCAGCAGCAGGCTTATCCAGAATTCCTCATCTATTCAGAGAGGATAAAGCTGAACTGGTAAATATTGGATCTTACAAGCTGTGAAGCCGAAGACCAATCTTATAGAAACATAAGAACAGAGGGTTTTCTGGGACATCAAATCCAAACTTCCTCTCCAGCATCGTATAATCCTCTTCTTTATTGCTCTGTTCAAAAGCAGTTTGGCTCCCTGTTGGAAAACTCTTGTTAAGAGATTTTTTTCCCCTACTTTTCAGAATAGTTATTTGTTAATATTCATGCTTGTGCTAGCATCATTTAACTCAGATATCTTTCCTGTCTCAGCCTGCATTCTGTTGGACTTCATGTACCCTGACTTTTTTAAAGTCTTTCCTTGCAAGTTCTCTACTTGTAAGAGTGCTAAGCATGGCTATCTATGATCAGACCAGCTTGTCTTCAACAATAGAGAGTAGCAGTTACTGAGGGAATAGTGTTAAGAACACTAAGTCTGTAGTGATATGTCCCTGAAATGCTCTCTAAACCTATGGAGATCTGTATTTCAGTGTCTTACTGAAATATTATTTTTATATTTAATGGTTTTTGACAGTTAACTTGTGTGCGTCTCTAATTGCTTTAAGAGTCATATAAACTTTTGACATCCTTGACATCCACAACATCCACAGACAGAGCTCTAAAACTTAATTGCAGTAGACTATGCTTTAAAAAAAATAAAGGAAGGAAAGTGTTTTTCTCTTGTTTTAAGCCTATCATTCACTAGTTTCATTCAATGATGTCTTGTGTTTTAATCGGAACAGTTGAAAGTTGATCCCTTTTATTTCTGAATGCTACCTCTGACTGCATCAAACTCTACCATTTCCAACTTGAACTAGCTCTTCTCCAAATCAGAGCTCTGATCTGTTTAGTTGTTCCCCCTGGGAAGCTGTTCTATATCTTTAACTATCCTTATCACTCCATATATACTATTTTCAGTTTTAGCTTATCCTTTTGTAAATTAAACAGAGTAACTAGGAATTGCACACACTAAGATGTGGTTTAACCACGTATTTCTACAGTTCACTTGGTTTTGTTTTCTCCATTCTTTTCCTAATAGCTCCTGATGTCGTATTTCTGTCTTTACTACTGAACAGTCATGTAGCACTGTCATGCAACTGGCTAGTGTAACCCATAAAATATTAATGTGAAGTTAGTAGCTGGTTCAGAGCCTATTGCCATGTAGGCCATTTCCACAATCATCCTATCAGCCTTGTACCAGTTCTTGATCCTTTTTCTTCTTACAAATCTTAGGATTGCTATTGTCTTTTTTTAATGTTGTCTCTTTTTTGATGTCCTCATATTGACTATCCACTGTTAGGCAGTGATCAGTGAAAAAGGTCCTTCTCAGTTGCTTCCAAACGCTGAGCTGCCAGCCTATAGTTGAAATTTTTTTTTGTTATACCTCTGCTGCATGCTTTGTCTTTGATGCCACTGAATTTCATTCCACTTCTCTTATTGTTATGCTGAAGCTCATTTAGTTTTTTAACCATATGCCAGTCCTCTTCTGCGTGCACTGTATTTCCAGTGTTGTATTAACAGCAGGTTTTATCATTTGTTTGCAGATGTTTTTAATAAAACTCTGCTGGTAAACTCCTCCTGTATCAATATTTTTCCTTTCAAAACTGCATGTTGTATTTCTCATTTAGCCAGCATCTTATCAAATCCGTAAGGATTCCTTCTCCAGCTTCAATAATAATTTGTGATAACTCTATCCGATTCTTTATTGAAGTCATAACAACTGTTAACTACCACACTTCTTGCGCCTACACAATTCATTAATGTACTAAAGGAAGTTTAGAACAATGGCAGAAAACCTTATAAACAAAACATGAACAATATTTTTTCATATATGGGCTGTGTTACCTTCAGTTGTATTGGTAAAGTCATTTGAAGATTAAAACTTCATTAATTATAAACTCTGCAGAACAATTTGGTCTCTATTTTGCACAGAACCAAGCAGAGTCAACAACAAAAAAAATCACTTGCTAAAGTGGAACAATAATATCCTAACTTAGCTGTCGCACGTGTCCATAAAGCACTGAAGTACTGTTACTACTTTTTTTTTTCCCCCAAGAAAATACTGGTTGTTATTTTGAGCTACTGACTTCAGGGTTTTTATGTCAATTTATATATCAGTACTAAAAAGATCTGTGAGAAGTAGAAAATCCTGTTCCTGGCATTAAGAGCTCATGTAGTTTATGCTCCTGGTTAGTAGTAAAATACAGCATTTTTCCATTATTTCTAGTAAAAAGCAGAACAAAACTAATGTTACTCATTGTCTTCACCACCAACCTCAACTGATCCATCAGTAAAATATCTTTGTTTAGGGGGAAAAAAAAAAGTATTTTGCAATAAAAATAGAGAACCACAGATGGTGTTAAAGCGTAAGAATCAGGTATGGGCGGCAGATTGGAGGATATCACGACTATCACTTTTCTAACTTACAGTCAGCAATCACTTAAATGAAGTAGCAGATATAATCTCCTTTAATTCCTAAGGAATTGCTTGATTGCCGTCCATCTTCTGGACCATAATGGAGATTCTAAATCTATGTAAGAAAAATCATATAGAGAGAGGAGGCATAAAATTACAGGTCTCAACTACATTTGGTCTGTGAATGATTATACCACAGAACTAGCTAAATATATGGTGTGTCTAAGAGGCATGGCTTAGACTTCAACATCAGTAACTGCTTGTGCTTCATTCTTAGGACGAGGAAATTCAGGACCCTCACAGAGAGCACCAAAATCTGGGAGGTCTAGTTCTTTAGATGGAGACCATCACGATGGATTCCACAGGGATGAAGCTTTTGGTGGAGGCCCTGCAGGAGGCAATAACCCTTCTCGAGGAGGAAGGAGCGGAAGTAATTGGGGAAGAGGAAATAACATGAACTCTGGTCAATCAAGAAGAGGAGCATCTAGGGGTGGTGGAAGAGGCCGATAGAAGAGGCTTTGACTGGGTCACACCCAGTCCTTCCTGGACAATATTTAAATAGACTGCTACTCTGGACTTACAAAGTAACCCTGCAACACCACAAACCTGGATTCCTAACTGGGATAACTGAATGTGCATTAGTTCCTAACAAGGGTCTTTTCCTAGATCAACCAACTGCTACTAGCTGCAATTTTGTAGCTAGCTTTCTGTTTTGTCCTCTCCACCCGTTTTCCTCACCTTCTTTTTACCTACTTGGTTTTGTGCAGAGCTGGAATTTTTTTTAAGTGTTGTGAGATATGGAGCACCTCCACAGATTTCAGTTCACCTCCAGAGAGAAACTTGTTTCTATATGTACAGTTTGTCAGAAGTTACGTTGTTTTTGTATGAATACAGAATGTAATTTGCGCAAAAATTAACAAAAAATCAACAGTGTGTGATTCTTTACTCACCTATTACTATAAAGAGTTGTTTTTAGGCAAACCTGGGTATCAGACGGAGCAACAAAACTACCTCCTGAAATCTCAACCGTTTAAAATACTAATAGATGATTTCTAGGTTTTTTATCCTGTATAGGCAACTTCAATTTTCACCTTTAGCCACAGCTGTCTACAGATTACAAGTGGTGCTGACGTTAAAATTCCAAAACATGGGAAATCACCGCTGCTTGCTAGTGTACTGTCCTGAAAGAGAAAAACATGGAACACCATTTAGAAAAAGCTGTCATAGACATAGTGTGAGTTATAACCTGGACTGTCGGCAAAATAGACATTGTGACAAGTAATGTCATTCTGTGCTTCACCTGGGCAAGTCAAATATTTTTGTTCAAAACAGCATCTGTTTATAGAAACTGAGGAAGAAAAGTTTAGCCGCTTGATTAATATAGATGCATATGTTTTACAATGGCTGTAGGATGCATTGCTTAAAGATACGGGTGTTCAGTAGAGTCTGGTGCATTCAAATGCTGAAGTGAAAACCTTGACAGTTGATCACTTTCATCTTAATGGTTTTTAGGTATCTTTTTCTTTAGGCTGTTGTTTCCTAGTTTTCCTGGGGGAGGGAAATAAGGAGGAGGGATTATTCCCATTTCCCACATTTCATAATAAAGCTGCTTACCAACCATGAGTTTTTGTTTTCCCCATAAATCATTCATAGTAATCATCTCCAGTCACCAGGTTATCAAAAGGCTCCTTTAATAACAAGCCTCAATTAAAATTTTATCATGTAAGTACATATTCTATAGCCAGCTGTCAGGAAGGTCCTATATTAAAAGCATAGGATGTAATGTATAGTGATGTTTTTCATTATCAGGCTTGAATTTCATGTTCTGCTGTTCAGGATAATATGGCAAGGTGGTCTATAGCTGACAAGCCTACAGGAATGATACACAGAAGGTATTTTGTCTGACTTCTCATATAGTCAAATTTGCTAAAGACTGACTTAAGTCCTGATGACCTATCCTTATTTTTAAAGAGATCACAGCACAGATGCTTAACTGCTGTTCTTGTTCAGTCACAAGTGGGTTTTTTTTTAATTCATAGTGTACAAAATGGCATTTGAAAATTATAGTAATTAACTCTGATCATTAGTCTATTAAGTCCTTGTCATGGGGCTCTAGAGAGACAGAACAGTCTTAAAGGAATTAACTGGGAAACAGCTGAGATGCACCTGATACAAGTTTGAGGGGGGAAAAAAAAAAAATGCTTTTTACATCTATGTGAAGAAGGGCTTTGGTCAATTTTGGTATATGGCTGGAAGTTAGGATCTATCCTGAAGTTTTAATTATAAATACCAATGATTTAATCATTAGCAAAGGGAAAAGCTTCTCCCTTTTTAAATTTTTTCACAAGCCCTATATATTTTTAAGGGGCTGAAAGTGACTTTTGTCTAACAGTTGGAATATGTGATTTTGATTATGAGCTTTAGTCCTTACTTAAACCACAGTCCTACCAAAACAAGTTAAGAGTGCACCTAATAATAGGAAACCCAGCTTTTTCTATCTAGACTAAAGGAAGCATGCTTGGTTTTCCTCTGATGGTTGGTTAAGTCCTTAAACCATTATGGTACTTGGTGTTAAGTAACAATCTTCACTGAGGGACAGCTTTTTTAATTAAGTAAGTTTTTAAATATTCCATGATCATGGAATATGCACAAAAAGTTGTAAGAAAATTGAATAATTCACTAGCTAGCTGTTGTATAAAATCTTAGAAGGTGACAGCACAGCAGAAGAGACATAAGCAGCTTCCCAGTCTGTGATACCATGACCCACTATTGCTGGAAAATCGATAAAATTACCTAATGGGAATATACTCCTGTACTCTTTCAGGTCAAATTCTTTTACCAGTGCTGCATGTAGAATCCTTATGCTCTACCTGCTAGTTTACTGCTCCACCCTGTCTAAGATTTGTTTTGTTCGATAGTGCTGTTAGGAATAAAATTAATTTTACATGCTATAGCTTAGATACTGTAAAAATGAGAAAACTAATTTAATGCTATTCAGATAGCTGTTTTCTACATTTTTAAGGGAAGAAAAAGTGACTATTAGTGGAATGTCTATACTGATATTTGGTACACAAAGTTTTATTAAAGCAATCTACGTACATTTAAGTACCTCCATTTAACAATTTGTTTAAATTGGAGCACGTATTAGGTGAATACACTAAACCTTAAGTAGTGATAGCAGAGAAACATTGCAGTATTTGGCTTTATTTTGTGTATGAGGAACATATTCTCTGTGAGACACTCAGGCTCTGAGCAGGTTAGGCTTGGTAGTCCCATTTATCTCCAGTAGTGAAAAAGCTGAAGTACCAAGCTCTCAGCAGGGACTGCCAGGCTGAATTCAGCACCTTCCTAAGGCTGCTTACCTTCTGCATTGAAACAGAGCTGTGCTAGCTGCTAATTACTAGCAAATCTATTTTTGAAGGTCATGCTATGACAAGTAAACAATTCCTGCCCAAGTTGAGAGAGTAAAAAAAAATAGATGTAAAAAACAAAGTTCTATGAGCTGGAGCTGTCCCTTTAGAGCCCAAGGATTTGCTACCTCGCAGCAGCTGTAAGGCAACAACACCTGCAAAGGCTGAGCCCCTTAACTAAGATTAGCACCTTTCACTGTCATACAAGAAGACTACCCTTAGAGTTACTGGCAGTCTCTGTGCTCCATGGCCCCGAGAAAGTTTGTTTCACTTTTTCGCTGGATGGTATTTTAAAGATGGTTTTTAAGAGAGAAATGCAGTTCATTGGACAGAGTATTCATAGTCACTGCTGGTCTGAGGTGGCTGATGACCGCACTACACAGCAACTGGAAGTCTGTGTTCAGAGCGTAGGGGTCGGCACAAAAATGGGTTAATAGCAGTTAACTATTTTTCAATGTTCACCCCCACACTTGCTCAGATTTCCCAGCTCTCTCCGTGTTTCAACAGCAGTCAGCCCTACACACCTCGGCGGTAAGATACTTGCTTTTCCACAGAATGGGCAAGTCAATAATTACATTTCACCGGCTCCATCATCTCACTCACGTTTTGAAGGAGGCTGCAGCAGCCACACGGTCCTGTACTGGAGGGAGGGAAGTGGGATGCTGC